GCCGTTTATAAACATCCACCCGCCCCTACACTGCCCCATCTGGCCGTGTATATACAACGGCTGGATGGGAGGTGGTTAAGGGTGGGATGGCTCCAGCTAAGAGAAGATGAATGAATTGCCAACCCTGGGAGTTCTCGGGGGTCACAGAAGTGAGGACTCTCTGTATTACCAATCTGGATGACCAAGGTGCAGTATGAAGGTATGATGAGGACCTCCAGATTGGATGTGCCCATAGACATGACATGGCAGTCTCCCAATACACCTTGTGAGAACTAGCATCACCGGTAGAGCTTTTACAGCACACAGCCAATCGCTTTCTTCTTTTTTAAGGCCTTTTAGCCCAATTTCATTTAAAGGAAAGTTCCATGCAATATATGTTTCCCACGCAGGGGTATCTGAAGGGAAATATATGTTTTTTTAGGTCTGTCATTTTGTTTTCCCTCCAACTCCATTCTATATTTTCTACTAACATGTTGATTAATTGTTTTGTATTATACCCAGAATGAGTTAATGAAAATATGCTGTCAGTTATGTGTTATAGAACTGTGCTCACAATATTCTTCTATTTCTAGCTTAGCCTTGGTAGAGGCAGGGATAGTATCCAATTATTTCTTTGTACTAACAGCACCTGTTTCTGTTATGATATAATTAAAAGTCAAATACTTCTGTCCCATGGGAAAATAATTGTTGGATACTTGTAACTGATTTCAAGGCCTGAGAAAGTCATGTTCATAGCCTTGACAAGTATCTAGCGAGATTCTATTGTATGTAGTAGATAAGTGTTTTTTAAAACAATGTAGAAACTTTTATTCCTGGGAAAGTTAAACTCCGCTTCTCATCACTTTTCAGAATTGACGTCAATGTTTGTCTTTTTGTATTCAGCCAATCAATTACTGACAACTCAGCTTTTTGATACTCTGTGCCCCCCACCTTTCTTTTTTCTGTTATATTAATTTTCTTCCCGCTAATAAACTTGAGAGATTGATTTCAACTATCACTGTGTGTATGTCTGTTGTCTTTTCTGAGATGAAGTCAATCTCCCCGACGCGTCGTACCCTCAGCAGCCTGATAAAGACTGATAGCCAGGGGCTATCGACAACCTTTCAATTGGAGGTTCCACCGAGATCGGGAGGTCAACCCGTTTGCGGTCACCCGGTAAGATAAACAAAGTCTGTCTGTCTGTCCGGCTGTCCGTGGGCTCTGACTAAACTCTCGATCTCTGAACTGTGACAGGAGTATTCCGGGAATACTTCATTGAGTCTCCGGGAGACTCAGATAAGGAAAGGTGATTTATGTAGACGGGGTCTACATTTCAAATATCTAGATGGGGTCTAGGTACATTACAGAGTCTTAACTAGTCTGTTGAGGGTAACCAACTTTCTTTTCTTTGCTTCTATCATCAAATGCATAGAGTATAAGATAATTTGTTTATGAAAATAAGTGAACCCGGTTGGTAAGTGAACGGGTCAAAGTCATTGAAATAGAGTCAATATTTAAGTTCTTATTGTCGATCTTTTGTTGAGAGTGATAAGTGGTTATGAGTCACTAGACCCGCTCCGTACTGTCAGCTCCGTACTGTCAGAATATATCTTTCCTTCTCCAAAGAGGACGTGAATTTTTATTGCAGCACAGCAGCAAATCCAACCCACAGCCCCATCCCCTGTCCCAGTCCAGGATGCGGTGGAAGACCAACCTGAACCCCCACCCAAGGAATTCCTGATTCCACACAGAATAAGGAAACTTTTTTCTGCTGAAGGATTAAAAGAGATATCAGGGTCCCTATTAGTAGACTTGGCAAATAAAGCAGGAATAGATAAAATTTTCAATCCCAGATGGGCAGGTGGAACCAGACACAAAGTGGTGACACAGACCAAGCAATATCCATTTCTCACTGTAGGAGACACGTTATTAATTAAATGTTTGGAAATAGAGGACATTGACTGTATTACAAAACATTGTTCTGTTGGTGTTTGACGTTTCGTTTTTTTACCGCCATACCGTCTGATGCTGAATGTTTTTCAGTAATTGATTTAGCAAATGCATTTTTAGCGTCCTTGTTGATGCAGAGACACAGCCCATTTTTGTTTTCTGTTTAATGCCTCGGGGTTTTTTGTAGATTTTTCTGTAGTCTACTCAACTGTTCTCCAGGCCACTCTGAGGGGGTGGTCACCGGACTATGGGTCAGTCCTGCTGCAGTACGCAGATGTCATCTGCCTCTGCAGTCTCACTAAGGGGGCCGGCCTGAGGGATGGGGAGAGTTTGTTGAAATGTTTTTTTGAAGGTGGACACAAAGTGTCAAAAAAAAAAAAAAAACTACAATGGTGTAAAACAAGTGTTGAATTCTCGGCCTTTTGGCTAAGATCAAGTGTAGTATCTGTTCTTATCAGTGTCCAGTGGGGGTGCTCCCGACCATTCTAGCTTTGCGGGGATGGTTGTTGTATAGTACCCTCACTGGAATGATGGGGGTCCGGAAGGCTAGTACCGGAGGGACAGAAACCGGGGAGCGCCACGAGTTAAGCTGGGGCCCCGGGAGTAATTCCTCTGGGAAGACTGGAAAGACCCAGTACCTCCTGATTTGGACGGATCTACCTTGGTCTGGCCAGGGGCTGGGGACGCAAAAAGTCCGCAAACTCAGTGCCCCCTGGGGAAGACGCTCTCAGGGGTGTCACTAGTAACACTTGGGTGTGGGACCCCACGGTGTGAAGATGACACATGGCCACTGTTTTTCACCTCTTTTTGCACAGCGCCCTAAGGACCAGGCCTTTTGGCTAAGTTCAGGGCAATTTTTGCTACGGGCCTCAGGGCCTGGTCTGTGCACGATTCGGCACGGTACCACTTTTTTATTTTTTCTTTCTCTTATTTATTACGCACTTACCCACGTTTGTCACTTTTTTTGTTTTTCTTTGCCTTATGTGTGTGTTTTTCACGGATGGAGGGTGTGGGTCCTCGGGCCTACCCTGAAGTCTAGGGGGAGGATGTGTGGCCATACGGTTCCTTCCTCCCCTGATCCCTAGAGGACTCTTCTCCGGGAGAGTCCCCTTGCCTAGTACTGAATGTCCGGCTTCGGCTGGGCATAGGGAACGGTGGTCCACCAGGCCTTTTGGCCAGGAGGACCAAGTGGGAACCTTGTCCCCGTCAGGAGCTTCGTGCCCCGGGGGATCAGGGTAAGCGGTCCAAGCCCCTTTAGGGGTAGGACACAGCACACCCCTAAGTGCACTTTTTCGTGTGGTGTTTTGCACTTGCACATTTTTTGTGAACACTTACGGGTTTTTACGTTATAGTTGCACGTTTGCGGACTTAAAAAAAAAAAAAAAAAAAAAAAAGTGTGTTGAATATCTGGGTTTTTGTGTTTACAAAAGGAGGAAAGGAAAGTCAGTCAAAAGAGAGCTGTGGCTCTCCTGAAACTTGCCCGCCCACAAACCAAGAAAGACATGCTCTCCTTTCTTGGAGCCATTGGTTACTGCCGCCAGTGGATACCCGACTGTTCCTATTATGATAAGTCACAACCCAGCAAATGTCAGAAAATTGTTAAGTGGTCAGATGACATGGTTGATGCATATGTGTACTTGAAAAATGCAATGGTAACTGCCCCTGGCCTTAGCCTTCCTGATTATGTAAAAATGTTTCATGTGTATGCAAGGGACAATTGTAAGACCATGGCTGGTGTACTCGCCCAAGAGCACGGAGGAAGACTTCGCCCTGTAGCTTTTTTCTCAAAAAAATGGTGCCAGTTCAGGTCCAAGGCATGCCTGCGTGTCTCAAAGTGTTGGCATTTTACGCTATGACTGTGGAAATGTCTATGTCATTCACCTTAGGACACCCTATGATATTGCACACTACACATAATGTAGCTATTTTACTAAGATATATACACACTCAGCACATGTCCTCCCAACAACTCAGCAGATATGAGGTTATCTTGATGAGCAACCCCATGTTGCATATCAAGTATAGCGCAAACAACCCAGGTCCAGCAATGATCCTAAACGCACTGTTGGATCTCAAATTGTCAAACGATCTGAAACCCGAGGCTCATGACTGCCTCAAATCCATTGAGGCTAATACTTCACCCAGACTAGATTTATCAAAGATTCCAATCCCAAATGCTGATGTTGTTTTCATAGATGGCTCCTGCACTACGCCAAATGACAAATCCCTTTTCAATCAGCCCAGGCTGCTGAATTGATTGTTTTCACTAAAGCATGTGAACTGTACAAAGATCAGTCTGTCACTATTTACACGGATTCTAATATGCCTATGGAACAGTGTATGACCATGGTGTATTATGGTTTCTCAAGGCTACATAGGAGCTGATGGGAAAAAGATTGCCCATCCCCAACTAGTAGCCAATTTGCTCAAGGTTCTCACACTTCCCAAGGAATTTGCTGTCATACACTGCAGAGCACCAACCAAAGGGGACGATGATATAACAAAAGGTAACGCTCTAGCAGATTATGAAGCAAAAAAGGTAGCTCAACAACAACTTGCTTTACTGCAGATGCCCACTTTATGCCCATCCTCCCAGATGATTCCCAATTGATCACAACTTTGTAGCAGTCAGCTTCCACAAAGGAGCTCGAAGACTGGTGCTACCCTATTTTACAGAAGAATCCAAAGACTGGATTAATCTGCAAAGAGGGGAAACCATGCACCCCACGGTGTAGCGCCCTGATATACATTGCATAATACCATGGGATAGGACATATAGGATAGAAGGCAACCCTAAAACAACTCCAAAAAGATTTTTATATCACAGGAATGGTGGAGTTAGTACAAAATTTTGTGAAAAGATGCATCACATGTATCAGGAGTAACCCAAAAACAACCCAAATAAAGCCATGCATCAACACCTGTCTCACCCCACAACACCTTTTACATATTTTCAGATTGACTTTACACACATACCCCAAACAAAAGGGAGGACAACAACCAGCTTGTGTGGTCACAGATGTGTTTTCCCCAATGGCCAGAAATGTATCCCACAAAAAGAGAACGATGTTATCCGCAAGTTTCCGTTTTTTTTTACAGGAAAATACCTACCCGTTCCAGGCCGGAGATCGTATTGTGGTGAAACAGCTGACGAGAAACAAGAAACAGCAGGATTTCGCCTATGGACCAGAAACTACGGTCGTAGCAGTAACCAGAACAGCAGTCCTCACTGAACATAGTTCCATCTGGATCCATGCTTCCAGAGCGAAGCTGGTCGAGAAAGGCCCAGGACCAGACCCAAGGAAAACAGGAAAGGAGGTACTAACGGGGGCAGAAAGCCCTGACCTCGAACAGGACAATCAAGGAAAAGGGGGTATTAACGGGGGTAGAAAACCCTGACCCTGAAGAAGATGAACTGCTTCCCCAACTTTAGGCCATGGTTCTGCCACTTTCTCCTGATCATACTGATTTTGTTGGCACCTAGCCATGGTGAAATGTTGATAATACAGGACTCAGGCCACACCATATTGTGGTATAATTCATCAAATACTGAGGTTGCCACCTTTATTATTAATTACTGCCAAAGTGTACAATGTTCCCATAACTCCCACCTACTCTGGTTGTATAATATGTATCATACTGCACATGAAGTTAGCCATGTACAGTGGGGATCGAAAGTTTGGGCACCCCAGCTAAAAATTTGTAATAATGTGCATAAAGAAGCCAAGGAAAGATGGAAAAATCTCCAAAAGGCATCAAATTACAGATTAGACATTCTTATAATATGTCAACAAAAGTTAGATTTTATTTCCATCATTTACACTTTCAAAATAACAGAAAACAAAAAAAATGGCGTCTGCAAAAGTTTGGGCACCCTGCAGAATTTATAGCACGCACTGCCCCCTTTGCCAAGCTGAGACCTGCCAGTGTCATGGATTGTTCTCAATCATCGTCTGGGAAGACCAGGTGATGTCAATCTCAAAGGTTTTATGCCCAGACTCATCTGACCTTGCCCCAACAATCAGCACCATGGGTTCTTCTAAGCAGTTGTCTAGAAAACTGAAACTGAAAATAGTTGACGCTCACAAAGCTGGAGAAGGCTATAAGAAGATAGCAAAGCGTTTTCAGATGTCAATATCCTCTGTTCGGAATGTAATTAAGAAATGGCAGTCATCAGGAACAGTGGAAGTTAAAGCAAGATCTGGAAGACCAAGAAAAAAATATCAGACAGAACAGCTCGCAGGATTGTGTGAAAAACAATTCAAAACCCATGTTTGACTGCACGATCCCTCCAGAAAGATCTGGCAGACACTGGAGTTGTGGTACACTATTCCACTATAAAGAGATACTTGTACAAATATGGTCTTCATGGAAGAGTCATCAGAAGAAAACCTCTTCTACGTCCTCACCACAAAAATCATCGTTTGAACTTTGCAAATGAACATATAGACAAGCCTGATGCATTTTGGAAACAAGTGCTGTGGACCGATGAGGTTAAAATTGAACTTTTTGGCCGGAATGAGCAAAGGTATGTTTGGAGAAGAAGGGGCACAGAATTTAATCAAAAGAACCTCTGTCCAACTGTTAATCATGGGGTTGGATCAATCATGCTTTGGGGTTGTGTTGCAGCCAGTGGCACAGGGAACATCTCACGAGTAGAAGGAAAAATGGATTCAATAAAATTTCCGCAAATTTTGGATGGTAACTTGATGCCATCTGTGAAAAAGCTGAAGTTAAAGAGAGGATGGCTTCTACAAATGGATAATGATCCTAAACACACCTCGAAATCCACGGGGGATTACATCAAGAGGCGTAAACTGAAGGTTTTGCCATGGCCTTCACAATCTCCTGACCTCAACATCATTGAAAATCTATATATAGACCTTAAAAGAGCCGTGCGTGACAGACAGCCCAGAAATCTCAAAGAACTGGAAGACTTTTGTAAGGAAGAATGGGCAAAGATACCTCAAACAAGAATTGAAAGACTCTTGGCTGGCTACAAAAAGCGTTTACAAGCTGTGATACTTGCCAAAGGGGGCAGTACAAGATATTAACTCTGCAGGGTCCCCAAACTTTTGCAGACGCCATTTTTTTTGTTTTCTGTTATTTTGAAAGTGTAAATGATGGAAATAAAATCTAACTTTTGTTGACATATTATAAGAATGTCTAATATGTAATTTGATGCCTTTTGGAGATTTGTCCATCTTTCCTTGGCTTCTTTATGCACATTAATACAAATTTTTAGCTGGGGTGCCCAAACTTTCGATCCCCACTGTATATATAGATGCCATAGGGGTACCAAGAGGGGTTCCATACAAGTTCAAGGTCAAAAACCAAGCAGCAACTGGATTTGAGTCTATATTTTTCATTGTCACCGTAAACAAGAACGTTAATTGGATAAATTATATCTCTTATAATCAACAAAGATTTGTTAATTATACTAGGGATGCCCTAAAAGGGAACTGCTGAACAATTAGAAGCCATTTCACAGATGACACTCCAGAACAGGATGGCTCTAGATATGATTCTAGCTGAGAAGAGTGGTACATGCAAAATACATAGACATGGTAGACATTTGTTGCACTTACATCCTAGACAACAAAGGCCCAAATGGCAAAGTCACATTAGCCATAAAGAAACTTGAAGACTTGTCTATAGAGTTTAAGAAGAACTCCAGCTTAGACAACTTTTAGGATCAGTATTTTAAGTGGTTCACCACCTGGAAACAGACACTAGTACAGTTTGTTATTATTATCCTGATTATCACTGTTCAACAGGTAAAAAGTTTTGGGCATAAAATTAGCTAATCTTACATAATTTTTGGGGTGCTGAAAACGAAAATGACCCTAAAAAAATGTTGATTGGCTCTAGTTTCCATGATATATTCACCCATCTAATGACGTAAGCCATTCAAAATTATGATGCAACTTCAGCTGCATATTGCGCAATTGATACTGGTGACCAATAGAAAATGTCATGTATACTGAGATGATGCAATATTAGCCTTTAATTGCATCACTTCACTGCATAAAAGCTGCAGTATCTGTAGCTGATTGGAGTTCGTCTTTACATTTGGTTTTCTGCTTATATAGGCTACTCAGTAATGCCTCGAACTTGTGTGAATAAAGCAGATAATTTCTGCTATATCTGCGGTGAAATAACTTTTATCTCACAAAAAAAGAGGATAACAGGAATGATTAAGAAAGCCTACAAACTTGTATTTTGGCTGCAAGATAGGAGACCAGGACAAGAGCTGGGCACCACATATATGCTGCAATTCTTGTGGGACGGCACTGGAGCAATGGTTGAATGGAAAAAAGGCATCTATGCCTTTCGCTGTGCCAATGATTTGGAGAGAGCCAACAGATCATGTTAGTAATTGTTACTTTTGTATGGTGCCTCCAATTGTAAAAGGGCTAAATAAGAAGAAAAAGTTATCTGTGCACTATCCAAATATTCCATCGGCAATACGTCCAGTTCCTCATGGAGAGGGGCTACCAATTCCTAAAGCACCAGAATCCTTCGTGGTTGAGTCAAGTGAGGAAGAACCTGAAGCGTGTCGTCACGTGCAGTTGTAAGAGATAGCCCTTTCCTCGAATACAAGAGAAAAGCCAAGAGAAGCAAAACCGACACAAACTGAAGACAAAACTAGTGAGAATCCTAAGTATATTAAAATGATTCAACTTAGCTTATGGCTATAATTTTTCTTGGTAATCCTATGCAATATATTATGCCATTTAGGCTTTGTTATGTATCAATATCACTTGCTTTATATTTGTGGAAAGACATCTATCTATATAATTATTGTGCATTATGTAGTCATTACGCCTATAGTAGAAAACTTTCCGTTTACAGAAAAACTAGAGCCAATTGACACATTTCATTGTTATATTTGAACTCAGAATGTGAAATTCATTAAGAAATGGATCCTTTTGTTTCCAAAACTGGCAAAAAATAAACATTTGTTGAACAGTGTTATATTAGTTACCATAGGTTTTGTAGTTTGCTGCATTCTCCCGTGTATTAAGAAGCTTATGAACAAAGGTATAGGTATGACTATGTATGAGGAAAGAGATCTAAGAACAAACTGCCCCACTGAACCCAAAACCTAAAAAGTACCGCCGTTATCTAGCCAAATATAGAAAGAAGCAGAAAAAAGAACAATGTTGTATAAGGGGGAATAAAAATCATGTATGTAAATAATGATTTTAAGAGGGGATTGAAGGGAAATATATGTTTTTTAGGTCTGTCATTTTGTTTCCCTCCAACTCCATTCCATATTTTCTACTAACATGTTGATTAAATTGTTTTGTATTATACCCAGAATGAGTTAATGAAAATATGCTGTCAGTTATGTGTTATAGAACTGTGCTCACAATATTCTTCTATTTCTAGCTTAGCCTTGGTAGAGGAGATAGTATCCAATTATTTCTTTGTACTAACAGCACCTGTTTCTGTTATGATATAATTAAAAGTCAAATACTTTCTGTCCCATGAGAAAATAATTGTTGGATACTATGTAACTGATTTCAAGGCCTGAGAAAGTCATGTTCATAGCCTTGACAAGTATCTAGCGAGATTCTATTGTATGTAGTAGATAAGTGTTTTAAAACAATGTAGAAACTTTTATTCCTGGGAAAGTTAAACTCCGCTTCTCATCACTTTTCAGAATTGACGTCAATGTTGTCTTTTTGTATTCAGCCAATCAATTACTGACAACTCAGCTTTTTGATACTCTGTGCCCCCCACCTTTCTTTTTTCTAGTTATATTAATTTTCTTCCCGCTAATAAACTTGAGAGATTGATTTCAACTATCACTGTGTGTATGTCTGTTGTCTTTTCTGAGATGAAGTCAATCTCCCCGACGCGTCGTACCCTCAGCAGCCTGATAAAGACTGATAGCCAGGGCTATCGACAACCCTTTCAATTGGAGGTTCCACCGAGATCGGGAGGTCAACCCGTTTGCGGTCACCCGGTAAGATAAACAAAGTCTGTCTGTCTGTCCGGCTGTCCGTGGGCTCTGACTAAACTCTCGATCTTCTGAACTGTGACAGGAGTATTCCGGGAATACTTCATTGAGTCTCCGGGAGACTCAGATAAGGAAAGGTGATTTATGTAGACGGGGTCTACATTTCAAATATCTAGATGGGGTCTAGGTACACGCTACAGAGTCTTAACTAGTCTGTTTGAGGGTAACCCAACTTTCTTTTTCTTTGCTTCTATCATCAAATGCATAGAGTATAAGATAATTTGTACTGTTTATGAAAATAAGTGAACATCACCCGGTTTGTAAGTGAACGGGTCAAAGTCATTGAAATAGAGTCAATATTTAAGTTCTTATTGTCGATCTTTTGTTGAGAGTGATAAGTGGTTATGAGTAGATCACTAGACCCGCTCCGTACGGTCAGCTCCGTACTTTCAGAAATATATCTTTCCTTCTCCAAAGAGGACATGAATTTTTATTGCAGCACAGCAGCAAATCCAACCCACAGCCCCATCCCCTGTCCCAGTCCAGGATGCGGTGGAAGACCAACCTGAACCCCCACCCAAGGAATTCCTGATTCCACACAGAATAAGGAAACTTTTTTCTGCTGAAGGATTAAAAGAGATATCAGGGTCCCTATTAGTAGACTTGGCAAATAAAGGCAGGAAATAGATACAAATTTCAATCCCAGATGGGCAGGTGGAACCAGACACAAAGTGGTGACACAGACCAAGCAATATCCATTACTCACTGTAGGAGACACGTTATTAATTAAATGTTTGGAAATAGAGGACATTGACTGTATACAAAATATTGTTCTGCAACATGGTGTTTGACGTTTCGTTTTTTTTACAGCCATAACCGTCTGATGCTGAATGTTTTTCAGTAATTGATTTAGCAAATGCATTTTTTAGCGTCCTTGTTGATGCAGAGACACAGCCCATTTTTTGTTTCTGTTTAAATGCCTCGGGGTTTTTGTAGATGCTTTTCTGTAGTCTACTCAACTGTTCTCCAGGCCACTCTGAGGTAGCGGGGTGTCACCGGACTATGGGTCAGTCCTGCTGCAGTACGCGGAATGTCATCTGCCTCTGCAGTCTCACTAAGGGGGCCGGCCTGAGGGATGGGGAGAGTTTGTTGAAATGTTTTTTTTGAAGGTGGACACAAAGTGTCAAACAAAAAACTACAATGGTGTAAAACAAGTGTTGAATTCTCGGCCTTTTGGCTAAGATCAAGTGTAGTATCTGTTCTTATCAGTGTCCAGTGGGGGTGCTCCCGACCATTCTAGCTTTGCGGGGATGGTTGTTGTATAGTACCCTCACTGGAATGATGGGGGTCCAGAAGGCTAGTACCGGAGGGACAGAAACCGGGGAGAGCGCCACGAGTTAAGCTGGGGCCCCGGGAGTAATTCCTCTGGGAAGACTAGGAAAGACCAGTACCTCCTGATTTGGACGGATCTACCTTGGTCTGGCCAGGGGCTGGGGACGCAAAAAGTCCGCAAACTCAGTGCCCCCTGGGGAAGACGCTCTCAGGGGTGTCACTAGTAACACTTGGGTGTGGGACCCCACGGTGTGAAGATGACACATGGCCACTGTTTTTCACCTCTTTTTGCACAGCGCCCTAAGGACCAGGTCCTTTTGGCTAAGTTCAGGGCAAATTTTGCTACGGGCCTCAGGGCCTGGTCTGTGCACGATTCGGCACGGTAACCACTTTTTTTTTTTTCTTTCTCTTATTTATTACACACTTACCCACGTTTGTCACTTTTCTTTGCCTTATGTGTGTGTTTTTTCACGGATGGAGGGTGTGGTCCTCGGGCCTACCCTGAAGTCTAGGGGGAGGATGTGTGGCCATACGGTTCCTTCCTCCCCTGATCCCTAGAGGACTCTTCTCCGGGAGAGTCCCCTTGCCTAGTACTGAATGTCCGGCTTCGGCTGGGCATAGGGAACAGTGGTCCACCAGGCCTTTTGGCCAGGAGGACCAAGTGGGAACCTTGTCCCCGTCAAGGAGCTTCGTGCCCCGGGGGGATCAGGGTAAGCGGTCCAAGCCCCTTTAGGGGTAGGACACAGCACACCCCTAAGTGCACTTTTTTCGTGTGGTGTTTTGCACTTGCACATTTTTTGTGAACACTTACGGGTTTTTACGTTATAGTTGCACGTTTGCGGACTTAAAAAAAAAAAAAAAAAAAAGTGTTGAATATCTGGGTTTTGTGTTTACAAAAGGAGGAAAGGAAAGTCAGTCAAAAGAGAGCTGTGGCTCTCCTGAAAACTTGCCCGCCCCACAAACCAAGAAAGACATGCTCTCCTTTCTTGGAGCCATTGGTTACTGCCGCCAGCTCGGTGATACCCGACTGTTCCTATTATGATAAGTCACAACCCAGCAAATGTCAGAAATTGTTAATGTGGGTCAGATGACATGGTTGATGCATATGTGTACTTGAAAAATGCAATGGTAACTGCCCCAGGCCATTAGCCTTCCTGATTATGTAAAAATGTTTCATGTGTAATGCAAGGGACAATTGTAAGACCATGGCTGGTGTACTCGCCCAAGAGCACGGAGGAAGACTTCGCCCTGTAGCTTTTTTCTCAAAAAAATGGTGCCAGTTCAGGTCCAAGGCATGCCTGCGTGTCTCAAAGTGTTGGCATTTTACGCTATGACTGTGGAAATGTCTATGTCATTCACCTTAGGACACCCTATGATATTGCACACTACACATAATGTAGCTATTTTACTAAGATATATACACACTCAGCACATGTCCTCCCAACAACTCAGCAGATATGAGGTTATCTTGATGAGCAACCCCATGTTGCATATCAAGTATAAGCGCAAACAACCCAGGTCCAGCAATGATCCTAAACGCACTGTTGGATCTCAAATTGTCAAACGATCTGAAACCCGAGGCTCATGACTGCCTCAAATCCATTGAGGCTAATACTTCACCCAGACTAGATTTATCAAAGATTCCAATCCCAAATGCTGATGTTGTTTTCATAGATGGCTCCTGCACTACGCCAAATGACAAATCCCTTTTCAATCAGCCCAGGTTGCTGAATTGATTGTTTTCACTAGAGTATGTGAACTGTACAAAGATCAGTCTGTCACTATTAACACGGATTCTAAATATGCCTATGGAACAGTGTATGACCATGGTGTATTTATGGGTTTCTCAAAGGCTAACATAGGAGCTGATGAAAAAAGATTGCACCATTCCCAACTAGTAGCCAATTTGCTCAAGGCTCTCACACTTCCCAAGGAATTTGCTGTCATACAGCAGAGCACCAACCAAAGGGGAACGATGATATAACAAAAGGTAACGCTCTAGCAGATTATGAAGCAAAAAAGGTAGCTCAACACAACAACTTGCTTTACTGCAGATGCCCACTTTATGCCCATCCTCCCAGATGATTCCCAATTGATCACAACTTTGTAGCAGTCAGCTTCCACAAAGGAGCTCGAAGACTGGTGCTACTCTATTTTACAGAAGAACTCCCAAAGACTGGATTAATCTGCAAAGAGGGGAAACCATGCATTCCCACGGTGTAGCGCCCTGATATACATTGCATAATACATGGGATAGGACATATAGGATAGAAGGCAACCCTAAAAACAACTCCAAAAAGATTTTTATATCACAGGAATGGTGGAGTTAGTACAAGATTTTGTGAAAAGATGCATCACATGTATCAGGAGTAACCCAAACAACCCAAATAAAGCCATGCATCAACAACCTGTCTCACCCCACAAACACTTTTACCATATTTTCAGATTGACTTTACACACATTACCAACCCCAAACAAAAGGGAGGACAACAACCAGCTTGTGTGTGGTCACAGATGTGTTTTCCCAATGGCCAGAAATGTATCCCACACAAAAAGAGAACGATGTTATCCGCAAGTTTCCGTTTTTTTTACAGGAAAATACCTACCCGTTCCAGGCCGGAGATCGTATTGTGGTGAAACAGCTGACGAGAAACAAGAAACAGCAGGATTTCGCCTATGGACAACCAGAAACTACGGTCGTAGCAGTAACCAGAACAGCAGTCCTCACTGAACATAGTTCCATCTGGATCCATGCTTCCAGAGCGAAGCTGGTCGAGAAAGGCCCAGGACCAGACCCAAGGAAAACATGGAAAGGAGGTACTAACGGGGGCAGAAAGCCCTGACCTCGAACAGGACAATCAAGGAAAAAGGGGGTATTTAACGGGGTAGAAAACCCTGACCCTGAAGAAGATGAACTGCTTCCCCAACTTTAGGCCATGGTTCTGCCACTTTCTCCTGATCATACTGATTTTGTTGGCACCTAGCCATGGTGAAATGTTGATAATACAGGACTCAGGCCACACCATAATTGTGGTATAATTCATCAAAATAATGAGGTTGCCACCTTTATTATTAATTACTTGCCAAAGTGTACAATGTACCCATTATACTCCCACTTACTCTGGTTGTATAATATGTATCATACTGCACATGAAGTTAGCCATGCAGTACAGTGGGGATCGAAAGTTTGGGCACCCCAGCTAAAAATTTGTAATAATGTGCATAAAGAAGCCAAGGAAAGATGGAAAAATCTCCAAAAGGCATCAAATTACAGATTAGACATTCTTATATATATGTCAAAAAGTTAGATTTTATTTCCATCATTTACACTTTCAAAATAACAGAAAACAAAAAAATGGCGTCTGCAAAAGTTTGGGCACCCTGCAGAATTTATAGCACGCACTGCCCCCTTTGCCAAGCTGAGACCTGCCAGTGTCATGGATTTGTTCTCAATCATCGTCCGGGAAGACCAGGTGATGTCAATCTCAAAGGTTTTAAATGCTCAGACTCATCTGACCTTGCCCCAACAATCAGCACCATGGGTTCTTCTAAGCAGTTGTCTAGAAAACTGAAACTGAAAATAGTTGACGCTCACAAAGCTGGAGAAGGCTATAAGAAGATAGCAAAGCGTTTTCAGATGTCAATATCCTCTGTTCGGAATGTAATTAAGAAATGGCAGTCATCAGGAACAGTGGAAAGTTAAAGCAAGATCTGGAAGACCAAGAAAAATATCAGACAGAACAGCTCGCAGGATTGTGTGAAAAACAATTCAAAACCCATGTTTGACTGCACGATCCCCTCCAGAAAGATCTGGCAGACACTGGAGTTGTGGTACACTATTCCACTATAAAGAGATACTTGTACAAATATGGTCTTCATGGAAGAGTCATCAGAAGAAAACCTCTTCTATGTCCTCACCACAAAAAATCATTGTTTGAACTTTGCAAATGAACATATAGACAAGCCTGATGCATTTTGGAAACAAGTGCTGTGGACCGATGAGGTTAAAATTGAACTTTTTGGCCGGAATGAGCAAAGGTACGTTTGGAGAAGAAGGGGCACAGAATTTAATCAAAAGAACCTCTGTCCAAACTGTTAATCATGGGGTTGGATCAATCATGCTTTGGGGTTGTGTTGCAGCCAGTGGCACAGGGAACATCTCACGAGTAGAAGGAAAAATGGATTCAATAAAATTTCAGCAAATTTTGGATGGTAACTTGATGCCATCTGTGAAAAAGCTGAAGTTAAAGAGAGGATGGCTTCTACAAATGGATAATGATCCTAAACACACCTCGAAATCCACGGGGGATTACATCAAGAGGCGTAAACTGAAGGTTTTGCCATGGCCTTCACAATCTCCTGACCTCAACATCATTGAAAATCTATATATAGACCTTAAAAGAGCAGTGCGTGACAGACAGCCCAGAAATCTCAAAGAACTGGAAGACTTTTGTAAGGAAGAATGGGCAAAGATACCTCAAACAAGAACTGAAAGACTCTTGGCTGGCTACAAAAAGCGTTTATAAGCTGTGATACTTGCCAAAGGGGGCAGTACAAGATATTAACTCTGCAGGGGGCCCAAACTTTTGCAGACGCCATTTTTTTTGTTTTCTGTTATTTTGAAAGTGTAAATGATGGAAATAAAATCTAACTTTTGTTGACATATTATAAGAATGTCTAATCTGTAATTTGATGCCTTTTGGAGATTTTTCCATCTTTCCTTGGCTTCTTTATGCACATTAATACAAATTTTTAGCTGGGGTGCCCAAACTTTCGATCCCCACTGTATATATAGATGCCATAGGGGTACCAAGAGGGGTTCCATACAAGTTCAAGGTCAAAAACCAAGCAGCAACTGGATTTGAGTCTATATTTTTCATTGTCACCGGTGTAAACAAGAACGTTAATTGGATAAATTATATCTCTTATAATCAACAAAGATTTGTTAATTATACTAGGGATGCCCTAAAGGGAACTGCTGAACAATTAGAAGCCATTTCACAGATGACACTCCAGAACAGGATGGCTCTAGATATGATTCTAGCTGAGAAGAGTGGTACATGCAAAATACATAGACATGGTAGACATTTGTTGCACTTACATCCTAGACAACACAGGCCCAAATGGCAAAGTCACATTAGTCATAAAAGAAACTTGAAGACTTGTCTATAGAGTTTAAGAAGAACTCCAGCTTAGACAACTTTTAGGATCAGTATTTTAAGTGGTTCACCACCTGGAAACAGACACTAGTACAGTTTGTTATTATTATCCTGATTATCACTGTTCAACAGGTAAAAAGTTTTGGCATAAAATTAGCTAATCTTACATAATTTTTGGGGTGCTGAAAACGAAAATGACCCTAAAAAATGTTGATTGGCTCTAGTTTCCATGATATATTCACCCATCTAATGACGTAAGCCATTCAAAATTATGATGCAACTTCAGCTGCATATTGCGCAATTGATACTGGTGACCAATAGAAAATGTCATGTATACTGAGATGATGCAATATTAGCCTTTAATTGCATCACTTCACTGCATAAAAGCTGTCAGTATCTGTAGCTGATTGGAGTTCGTCTTTACATTTCGTTTTCTGCTTATATAGGCTACTCAGTAATGCCTCCAACTTGTGTGAATAAAGCAGATCATTTCTGCTATATCTGCGGTGAAATAACTTTTATCTCACAAAAAGAGGATAACAGGAATGATTAAGAAAGCCTACAACTTGTATTTTGGCTGCAAGATAGGAGACCAGGACAAGAGCTGGCACCACATATATGCTGCAATTCTTGTGGGACGCACTGGAGCAATGGTTGAATGGAAAAAAGGCATCTATGCCTTTCGCTGTGCCAATGATTTGGAGAGAGCCAACAGATCATGTTAGTAATTGTTACTTTTGTATGGTGCCTCCAATTGTAAAAGGGCTAAATAAGAAGAAAAAGTTATCTGTGCACTATCCAAATATTCCATCGGCAATACGTCCAGTTCCTCATGGAGAGGGGCTACCAATTCCTAAAGCCCCAGAATCCCTTCGTGGTTGAGTCAAGTGAGGAAGAACCTGAAGCGTGTAGTCACGTGCAGTTGTAAGAGATAGCCCTTTCCTCGAATACAAGAGAAAAGCCAAGAGAAGCAAAACCGACACAAACTGAAGACAAAACTAGTGAGAATCCGAAGTATTAAAATGATTCAACTTAGCTTATTGGCTATAATTGTTCTTGGTAATCCTATGCAATATATTATGCCATTTAGGCTTTGTTATGTAGTCAATATCACTTGCTTTATATTTGTGGAAAGACATCTATCTATTATAATTATTGTGCATTATGTAGCTCATTACGCCTATACAGTCATGGCCGAAATTGTTGGCACCCTGATATTTTTCCTGAAAATCAAGTATTTCACACAAAAAAGGTATTGCATTAACACATGTTTTGCTATATACACATGTTTATTCCCTTTGTATGTATTGGAACAAATATAAAACAGAGGCAGAAAAGCAAATATGACATAATGTCACACAAAACCCCAAAAATGGGCTGGACAAAAGTATTGGCACCCTTAACTTAATATTTGGTTGCACACCCTTTGGAAAACATAACTGAAATCAGTCGCTTCCTATATAACCATCAATAAGCTTCTGACACCTCTCACCCCGGAATTTTGGACCACTCTTCCTTTGCAAACAGCTCCAGGTCTCTCTTATTGGAAGGACAAAACCTTTTCCCAACAGCAATTTTAAGATCTCTCCACAGGTGTTCAATGGGATTTAGATCTGGGCTCATTGCTGGCCACTTCAGAACTCTCCAGCGCTTCTTTGCCATCCATTTCTGAGTGCTTTTTGACGTATGTTTGGGGTCATTGTCCTGCTGGAAGACCCAGGATCTTGGACGCAAACCCAGCTTTCTGACACTGGGCCCTACAGTGCGACCCAAAATCCTTTGGTAATCCTCAGATTTCATGATGCCTTGCACACAGTCAAGGCACCCAGTGCCAGAGGCAGCAAAACAACCCCAAAACATCATTGAACCTCCACCATATTTTACCGTAGGTACTGTGTTTTGTTCTTTGTAGGCCTCATTCCGTTTTCGGTAAACAGTAGAATGATGTGCTTTACCGAAAAGCTCTATCTTGGTCTCATCTGTCCACAAGACGTTTTCCCAGAAGGCTTTTGGCTTACTCAAGTACATTTTGGCAAACTGTAGTCTTGCTTTTTTATGTCTCTGTGTCAGCAGTGGGGTCCTCCTGGGTCTCCTGCCATAGCGTTTCATTTCATTTAAATGTCGACGGATAGTTCGCGCTGACACTGATGCTCCCTGAGCCCTGCAGGACAGCTTGAATGTCTTTGGAACATGTTTTGGGCTGCTTATCCACCATCCGGACTATTCTGCGTTGCAATCTTTCATCAATTTTCCTCATCCGTCCACGACCAGGGAGATTAGCTACAGTGCCATGGGTTGCAAACTTCTTGATAATGTTGCGCACTGTGGACAAAGGCAAATCTAGTTCTCTGGAGATGGACTTGTAACCTTGAGATTGTTGATATTTTGCCACAATTTTGGTTCTCAGGTCCTCAGACAGTTCTCGTCTCCTCTTTCTGTTGTCCATGCTTAGTGTGGCACAGACAGACACACAATGCAAAGGTTAAGTGAACGTCTCTCCTTTTTATCTGCTTTCAGGTGTGATTTCTATATTGCCCACACCTGTTACTTGCCCCAGGTGAGTTTACAGGAGCATCACATGCTTGTAACATTCTTATTTATCTGCAGTTGTGAAGGGTGCCAATACTTTTGTCCAGCCCATTTTTGGAGGTTTGTGTGACATTATGTCGAATTTGCTTTCTTTCCTCCCTTTTTTTG